AGAGCAGACACCAGTGTTAGTGGTGACGCTCCCCAACCAGTGTTAGGTGGAGCCTCTCCCCAGCAGGGGACGCTGGACCCGTTTTCCAGGGACAATGGGGGAGAGGCTCTATTAGTGGGGAGCGTCACCTGCTGGAAAACGGGTCCAGCGTCCCTGGAAAGAGAAATATCTTGAGAAGGTGAGAACAGTGACTTGTGAGATCCGCCAGCGTTGATTACCCTGCAAAACAGCGGATTGACTGAGCAGACCGTATGAGAATAGTGGTTATGGAGTGTTCAGTCAGTCAATCCCCTGTTTTGATTACCCTGCTATGGAGTCTGCCAGCATTGATTACCCTGCTGTGGAGTGTCAGGGCAATCAATACTGGCAAACTCCATAGCAGGGTAATCAATACTGGATATCTCTTTTGTATCTCTTCCCCCTGTTTTCCAGGGTAATCAATGCTGGCCAAACATGAAGGATAGCATCCATAGCAGCATTGATTGCCCTGAAACCCAGGGGATTGACTGAGCAGATCCTGTGTAATATCCAGTAAAAAAAAAAAAAAAAAAAAAAAAAAAAAAAAAAAAAAAAAAAAAAAAAGAGAAGAAGAAGAAGAAGAAGAAGTAGCCTTGTGTGAGCGTGCAGGGAAGTCAATCTCTTTTGTATCGCTTCACCCTTATAAGAAGGGCGTCAGATAGACCGCTAGGGACTGTGATACTAATCAGGGGAGCCACACACTCTGAAACCCTCATGCTCAGTTGCTTCCAGAACCCTCATGCTCAGTTGCTTCCAGAATACTCAAAAGGTCAGCATTGGCTACCTCGACAGAAAGTAGAATAGAAAAAGGCATTGGCGGGGTCTTTCCCCAGGGGGCTCCAGGGAGGTGTTCCGCTTTGTGAAAGCGTGTGAGGTTTGCGAAGGAAAGTATTATGCTCAAGACAGAATCTCTGTTAGAGACAGGGCATGAGGAGGAAAGGGGTCCGGGAAATCCGAGGGAGCACGTAGAGGGAAGGAGGGCAGCTCTATGTTAGTCCAGTCCTTAAAAATTAGACGATAGTCTCTTATTTGCTCCACAAATCATACGGCCCAACTCCCCTGTCCCCACTCCATTTCAATTTTTGCAATCCATCCTTCTCTTTCTCCCCCCACCCAGTCTGTGCAAAAAGTCATAATCCGTCTCCTGACATCTCCAATTTGTAAAAAAAAAAAAAAAAAAAAAAAAAAAAAAAAAAAAAAAAAAGACATCTCCAATTTGTTTGATAAGGTCTAATTGGGATCTTGTGTGTGAGAAAAAGTAAACGAAAAGAATAATAAGAAGTCAAAAATACAGAAAGATTTCCAAGCCAAAAAGCGAAATTCCGACTTATGGTATATTTAGTATAAGCAACATCTCTGCGAAAGCGCAAGGTGAATCGGCTGCTGAATCTGGTCTAGAACTTCAGCCCCTTCCACCCGCACCCTTTCCATGGCCAGGGTGCACCTCTTCCACCAAAGAGCCCAAATCACTACTCTCCTTCCCAGTCTGTACATATTCCCTACGAAGGTGGAGACTGTTTCTGCCAGCGGCCAATGCCCAGCCAATATGGCCTGCCATGACCAGGGCCAGGGAATGTCTGGTTCCATCATTGGTTCATTTCATTTGCTGTCTCTTTTATTTTGTCGATTATAGACAAGAGAGATGAGTACATTGATTGGCCAAAAAAAAAAAAAAAAGAACATTCATTGGCTAATGGGATGTCTGAGCCCTGCCTCAGGGGTGAACACTCAGTCTGCCATGTCATCATTCCTTTTTTTTTTTTTTTTTTTTTTTCCAGCACCGTCGTTCTTATCATTCTTTTTGTGTTCTGTTATTTGCAGGCGGCGGCCTGCAGAGCATCAGATCATGAGATTATTTTTTTATTATTTTATTTTATTTTATTTTATTTAATGTTCCCTGTGCAAGGCCTCTATCCCTGTGGCGGTAAGAGAACCGCCGGGATTGAGGCTTTGCCGATCATGGCGTAGGGCCTAGTTGCACTATTCGCCATCCGCCGAAATTCTGAATGAATCAGAGCAGCAAATTTGACCCGATGCAGATTGCGGGTAGTGCATCTATACCTTCTTCCCCCGAATACAACATACCGTCATTATAGCTGAATTTGGCCCATCTTTCAGTCTACATACAGTTATAACCACCGTGCGTTGTATCCAGGGGACGAAGGTAGTGCCTTATCCATGATCACACGGAGGGATAACATTCCCTCACTTTACTTTTCCTTTCTTTTCCATTATTTATTTATTATTATTATTATTATTTATTTATTTATTTTAACACAGCTGGCGGCCTCCGTCGTGCAGGGATATGAGCCCATGCCTGATGGGGGTTCCCCACCTTGCCTTCATTTTCTCGGTCCGGTCCCACACACATGACATGCACCTTCAATTCTGTCCCAAGTTATAAAGTTCCAAGCTCTACAAAGTCCCAAGTTCCAAAGTTCCAAGTTCCAAAGTTCCAAAGTTCCAAGTTCCAAGTTCCAAGTTCCATCCAAGTTCTAAAGCTCCATCCAAGGTCTGAAGTTCCAAGTTGCAAGCTGCTTGCTATTGGGACTTCCGTCCTGTGCAAACAACATGCCGGGTCACAGCAGGTGGAAAAAGTATTTGTAATTTTGCTGGAATATGTTATCAGAGTGGTGAGGGGAGGACTTGCCCGAGTGGGCCAAAAATGACGTGAAAAAATTAAGGGAAAGGGGAAAAAAAAAAAAAACAACTAGTTTTGAATTGTATTTGTTTTTTTTAGGGGTAACTTCAGTAGAGTCACAAAAGACGAGTTATAAATTGTAATTGCACTATATATGGGNCGGGGGGGAAGATGGGGGGGGAGTGCTGATAGGTGTTTTTTTGTCGAAATGTTGTTTAGATAAGATGATTACGCATATGATGGGTAGGTAATGAGTGTTTGAATGGAGTAAGAACAGAGTGGAGATAGAATAGAGTGTAGATGATTACACACATGATGTTTCATTATTACGGACTGCAAGCCAGCATTGTGACTTAAGGACTGATCCTTAGAGAGCCGACAAAGACAAGTTAAATTTCTTAAATTTCTGGGATTTTCTGCTTCGGTGGGGTTAGGCCTGGCCAGAGTGCCTGGCTCATCCCTGTGGGCCGTGGCTATTGATGTGAGGGACGCGGGGCCCGTTTCCCAGCTTGTAATTGAAAAAAGCTCCGTTTTTTTTATTAAAAAAAAAAGAAAGCTGGGTTGTATGCATTGCCCGAACTGCAATTCGAAATTGTATCTTGGCCCAAATAATGCGATTAGAAGTTGGAACTCATTTTTGTGACCCCTGCGTAGTTTCTCCTTATTTTTAATTTGGCAATGAATTGTGATCCGACCCTGAGGCGAAAGTTGTTTTGGTTTATTTTTCTGCGCACACTTTTTTTTTTTTTTTTTTTTTTTTTAAACAGAGACCTTGCCTGGGCCCTTGTCCAGAACACACACATGTGCGCCCGCGAGGCAATAGGTCGCGCTGCACTACACTCCAAATGTGCAAAATGAGACTGAATCCACCACTAGAATATGGAAATATACATTGCCATCCTTTTTGTCTTTTGTCCATGTGGAGAGTTGTGCAGCAAGACCGACTGGACAGCGGCGGTTCATACCTCTTTGGTTTACTCGTGCCTGGCCCGTGCACATGCCGGTTCGCGCCTCCCACTGCCCCTTCCAACCCGACCCTGTTTTCTGCAACCGCGCGACTTTCTGCGCAAGGCTACTTCGGGGGTTGATCAAGAGGGCCCCGCCGAATTGCATGGATGCCCTCGCCTTTTCGGAATTGAGGCTGGTATGGTCCCACGACGGTTGGAAGTTGATCGTGCCTTAGTGAGCATGGAGGATAACTGTTGTCATAGCTTCTTTCTTGTTTTGCTGTGGGAAATGAGAATTTTGGCGCGATCGTCGCGCGTGAAGATCTTTTTGAATTTTCAACTGATGTCGAGCCCCCGCGGGCTCTTGGAATTTCTTTTCTCAGAATTTCTTTTCTCGGAATTTCTTATTGCAATTAGGATTTAGGCTAGGAATTTGGATGCATCGCAATTTTGCCAACAACTGCCTGGCGCTTCTTGCTTGTGCACGCTTTGCCGCGTCAAGATCTGTGCTCTGACTTTTCCTCACCTTAATCTTACGTGTAACTGTAATTCTCTTCTTGGCGGGCATGAATGTAACTGTAATCCTCTCTTGATATCTTCGTTGCGCCCTGCGCGTGCATACCTTTCCCCCTGTCCTATTGGCCCGAACGATTGTATGATTGGATCGATGTGTGGAGTGTGGCTACGTCCCCCACGCTGCGGCTTGGCCATGCAGTCGTAGGCACTTCCTTCCTCCTTCTTCCTTCCCACTTAGGCACAATCCCAGGTATCTCGCGCAAACACTCATGCTATAAATTTTGCAAGCGCTGTTAACTCGCTCTCTATGAATTTTGGAGATAGCGCAGTCGAGAGGATCGGCTAACGAGCAAGAGTTGGAAGGTGAGTAGAGAGTTGGGCTATCTGACGAGCTGGTGAGCTGGTGCTGGGTATGCAGGGTTGACGTGTGGCCGCGACGGACTGTGCCACACGGGCGAACCTGGCTTGCATGTTCGGACTAAGCGGGATGACAACTCTGTGTAGGTGCGCAGCGATGGACTGCCCGCATCGGGAGGGTGTGAAGAGAGAGAGAGAGAGAGAGAGAGAGAGAGAGAGAGAGAGAGAGAGAGAGAGAGAGAGAGAGAGGATGTGTTGGAATTGTGCTTTTCTTCGGTTCTTCTGAGTAATTTTGATATCTGGCGCAAGTCGCCCTTGCTTTTGGATCGACCTCTCAGACTTTTCCTTTGTTTCTTCTTTAAGAATTGATGTGTGATTCTCTCCCCCCTTTCTCTCCTCCCTCTGCATGAATTGGCAACTTGATTGATTGATCATCTACGATCGGACCATGTATGTCCCCTGACCAGTGGCCAGGATTGATGCACAAATGTTCGTCGTCTCCTTGTTTCTGGGTATGTTTAAGATCGGATGCATGGATGTTTGGCGTTTTTTTGTCTGAATATGAACTGGATGAGCATGCTAGATGGTTAGATGTATGTCTCACGATATGATTATCCATCTTCGGGCTAACGTGCCATTACGTATAGGTTGTGAGCTGCTGGCCCTTATCTGCTTGACCGATGGACAGATCTTGTGCACGCACATGTAAGCCCGACCGAAGAAGGTCGTCACTTACACGCATGTCTGCAAGGTCTGTACTCGGCCAAGCTCCCCGAATGTCTGGACTCCCACCCCACACTGCAATATGAATATTGAAATCCCCTTTCGCATCACTGACTGTGCATGTCTGAGGGATTGTGAATTCCGGGATTATTGGGAGCACGTGTGTCTGTCTGCACGATCGAGGGCGGAACCTTCAGAATTTCCATACTCAACAGGAAACGAACGTATTTGCGAGTGGGATATTGGTCAAGCTTTGGAACGTATCCCCACCTCCCCGGCTGTCCCAACTCATATACGTGTCACAGTACGAAACCCAGAATTATTATTCATGAAACCGAATTCCCTCCCTATCACCGCATTTTGCCCTTCCACTCCTTGACCATCGCCCCCTGGCGGGCGCTCGCTCCCTACTGGCCCCAACCTCCGTGCTCAGAGTGCCTGCAGGACCACGATTACTGAGCATCCGGCTTCATCCGGCGAACTCGCTCGGAAGAGGAACGACGGGAGCACAGCCTTCGGCTGAGGCTGGCCGCCTCGGATTCCGAAACCTGCGGCGTCCGACGTCGACAAGTGATCAGCCAGCGAGATAGCCATAGCGTCCTTGCGGTACACCGAATATGGATCTGACCCAGACGACGGGACCAACGGAGGTGATAGCTCCGCTCCCCGAAGCGTAAAACAGGACCCCGACCCACTTGCATTCATATCCCTGAAACTTGGCACAGGAGATCTCAGTTCGACCTAGGACTCCACCCCCACTTTCCTAAAATCCTTGGCACACAACCCCTTTTTCGCACTTCCAGGCCCACTCCGACTCCGATCAGGAAGTCGCACCGGGCGTGAGGTTAGGCTGTCACATTACCGTCCTCCAGCGCGCGCGGAACTCCGGTCCCCGCGAACCGACACACGGCCCGTCGCAAATACGGTCCCCGCGAACCGGCGTGCCCTCCTCGGTCCCCTACGGCACCCTGCGCAGAACTCCCCACCCGATTTTTGCTGGGCCCATAGGGAGTGTCACACACGGACCGCTTTTTCCTTTTATAAGACAAGAGAAGTTGTACACGTTCGAGGTAGGGCACTTGGCATTTCAGCTCGAGAGCACAGGTACCATCCGACCTTTTACGGTACCCAGTCCGGCAGGCGTCGCCCTTAGTCCTCCTTGAGGTGCTATGAGCAGCCGTCTTGTTCCCATCAAGGACTGCCTTCCCCCTCCAACGGGTACAATTTCTTGGGCCATCCCCCCACGGGGTGCCTGACCCTAGAAGGTGAGTGCACTGTAGCCCAGCTGCTGGGTCGCGGACAGCAGGCACAGATCTAATCCCAGCCCGCCAACTGCAGATGCTTCAGAGCCATGCCCGCTGCAACATTATCCTGGCACAAAAGACAGCGAGCTCGCGAGCTCAGCCTCCCCCCCCCCGACAGACACACTGGACTGAGCACCATCCCATCCAGCCTCGGACAGGGAACCGGCAATCTGCCCCTAAGCATCCACTCGGCCAGGGGATCGAACCTGGAACCTGCATCCCCGAAGAACCGGTGTATTTCGAGACCACCTGCAGCATGTGCCACCGGTGCCCCAGCAGGCAATGCTCAAACCCGCATCCTGTGGGACTCACCGCACAGGCACCCAGTCCATCTGGGCTACAGTGCAAACGCAGTGTGCGAATGGCCCTAAGCTCGGCTCGGCGCGCGTAATCCACATAATAGAGAAAACTACGGCGCAGTCAGGGTTCGAGTTTGTAATTGCACTCGAGGCAAAAGGGCCGGTAAATTATGCTGAATGTATATGACCTACGTTTCGGGTCCGGTGGGGTCGCGTGGGGGTGTGTTGTATTCGCGGGATTGCCTGAAGTGGAATTACAAACTGTTTTCGTGACTGCGCTAAAGTTACCCCCACATAATAATATCAATATTCAGAACATCACTCCGGAGTGCGGGCCCGAAGATTCAGGCCCACAACCTAAGCCACAAAGGTGAGTGTTGCAGAATACTCACCTTTATGGAGTAAGGCGCACCAGAGTGCAGGCCCGAAGATTCGAACCCACACCCTAAGCCACAAAGGTGCTGGTCTGTGCGTATCCGACCAGCGCTCGACCAATAGGTGTACAGACGGAGCTAGGCAGGAAGTCCCACTAGCAGCTTTGAGTTTCCTCAACGCCTGAATCTGGACGTGTTTATGGAGATGTGCGGTTGAGAAAAATCAACGCCATTTCTGCACATATCTTAAAAGTTATAACAC